CAGCACTGTGGCTACCCTGGTTTTGAACTTCACTGCACTCAAAACAAAGACACAGTCTTGGAATTACCTTTTCAGGTGAAGGCGTCAATCAAGGACTCTAACCTTCCATTTTCGGTTCAGTTTTCCATTAAAGAAATCGATTACAAAAGTCAATCAATCGAGATATCTCATGTTGGCTGCCTTCCAGGATTGCTTCCAATTATAAAGTTGTCCGCATCTCCATTCCAATTCCAACGTGCTATGAACTTCACTATTTTCAACTGTTCCAAAATCGAGAGAAATAATCTTTATTATCCAATCCTTGTACCCAGCCTCAGCAGTAGGGATTATGCTGTTTATGCATATCCTTCGTTCTATTCCCTATATGAAATGCCCCTCCATTCCTGCAGCAAGATGTTTGACATTCAATCAATATATTGGGAAGGATTAGAGAGTCTGTCCCCTATTATATTGAAATGGTCCTGACCATCTTGTGGATATTGCGAATCCGCTGGCAAACATTGTAGATTGAAGAATGACAGTTCGATCTTGCATGATACTGAATGCTACAGCAGCAAACCAGAAGGTAATTTTACATTTTTTTTTAGTTTTACAGACTTGGAGTTTACAACAGAAAGCAGGAGAGTCAAGTCGGGAGAAGATAGAATTATATCCATATCAATTTACCTCCTCTTAAATCTTTGGTTAAACTTTACTGATTTGGAGGATGGGTTCTATATTACACCACTTTATACACATATTTTTAATAAATACACCCCAATGATTTCATAAAATTATAAACACAAATAGTTTATATAATGTTTTCTTTATAGTCTGACTAATTATAAGCAAGAGAAATTAACAGTTCTTTTTCAAACGTTTCGTAGGGTCAGTGCCAAAACTAAGAATTGCAGGTGAGAATTTATGCTCAATTTTAGCTTCTATTGTGACTACGGAGAATGTAATATTTTCTCCAGTTATGGCGAAAAAACTAAATCTGTTTGCTTTGATATGTAGGTGAAGTACTTGGTCTTTTGCTTGCTGTGTTCCTTGCTATCGCATCATATTGGATTTATAGCTCAATCAAACTGACGAAAGAGAGTGAATTGAAAATTGAGCAATTCTTGGTGGATTACAAGGCACTCAAGCCAACAAGATATTCGTATGCAGACATAAAGAAAATCACGGATAACTTTATCGAAAAACTTGGTGAAGGAGGATATGGAACAGTTTACAAAGGAAAGTTGTCTAATGATGTTTTTGTTGCGATCAAGATCCTCAATCATTCTAAAGGGAATGGCGAAGATTTCATCAATGAAGTGGGCACAATAGGTAGAATCCACCATGTCAACGTGGTTCGTCTGGTTGGATATTGTGCCGATGGTTTTAGACGAGCTCTTGTTTATGAGTTTCTGCCTAATGATTCACTTCAAAAGTTTATATCTTCTGAAAAACAGAGGTGTAAGCTCGGGTGGGAGAAGTTGCACAGAATTGCAGTGGACATAGCCAAAGGAGTCGAGTATCTTCATCAAGGGTGCGAGCAAAGAATCCTTCATTTTGATATTAAACCAAATAACATATTGCTGGATGACAACTTCAATCCAAAAATATCAGATTTTGGTTTAGCAAAATTGTGATCCAAGCAGCAAAGTGTTGTGTCCATGACTGCAGCAAGGGGTACAATAGGTTATATTGCGCTGGAGGTTTTCTCGAGAAACTTTGGGAATGTTTCTTATAAATCATATGTTTATAGTTTTGGGATGTTGCTTCTTGATATGGTTGGAGGATTGAAAAAGAATGATGTTGGTGGGCAGGACAAAAGTCAAGTTTATTTTCCAGAATGGATTTACAATAAACTGGAGCACGGAGAAGAAATAGCTATCCAAATTGAGAAAGAGGGCAACAATAAGATTGTTAGAAAACTAACGATTGTGGGACTTTGGTGCATTCAGTGGTATCCAGTTGAGCGACCCTCCATGAAAGTTGCAATTCAAATGCTTGAATCAGAAGAAACTCCTTCCATGCCCCGTAACCCATTTACTTCCACGAATGGAACACAGAATGCAACAAATGCACTTGGAAGAATATTCAACAGCGAACTTGAAATCATTTCAGAATCCGAGTGACGGAGTGAGGGCATTAAATACTGAAAAATGTTTAACTGCTCCATAACATTTAAGATGTGGATTTTGCAAGTAGAAGTATGTCGGCCAGGTAGTACTTTGTATCCGATACTATGTAATAAACATGCATCAAATATTCATGATTTCGGCTTCATAGGTAGAAGGATGATTGATAAGTGTATTTTCTACACTTATTCGGGATTTGAAACTCTAGAATTTTATGGTCTTTTTGGCAAAATAAGACCTAAATTATGTTATATTGCATCTTATAGGTAAAACTCAATGTTTGATAAAGAATTGGAGAAAAGAATGCAAAAATAGCGAAAAATGGTAAAATTTAAAGTTCGAGGATCAAATTGCAAATACTCAAGAAGACACTTTGAAGATTGTTAGGAGACAATTGGATGAAATTAGAATTCAAAAAGGAATGGAACATGATCAAAGTTTTATCAAAATCAATTTCCAATCGCTCAAAATATATTCCAGATTTTTAGCCGAATATTAATACCCATTTTTGGCATAGTAAACGTCAGAATCGAAAAAACTCTATATCAATCAAAGTTGTAGCCATTTCAATTATCTTTCCAACATACTTTGAATCACATCAATTGGATATCAGAAGAGAAAGTTATGACTAAAATACAGACTGCTGTGTAGAGACAAAAAAATCCGCGCGCGCGAAGGCAACTTTCCTTATTCGATTAGAACTCTTTTGGAAACTAATTTGGACGTGATTTTCAACCAATTTTCGGCTCCTATAAAGAGATAACAGAAGAATACATATGGAAAACCTCCTTAGACCTAAAAATCTCTATATTATACATATTTTGGAGGTGAAGAACATGACTAATAACGTGGAATCAAGGTGAATTGCATAGGATATTGAAGATTCTTCATCCGGATTTAAGATTCACATCAAGAACGTGGATTTTTCCTACTTCTTCCATCTTTCTTATTTCTGGGTGATATTTTTCCAATTATTCTAGTGTAATTTAATTATAAGAATGTTAGGCTAATTTTTCATTGTATTGGATGAATGATGAACCCTATTGTTTATTTGTTTTAATTCGAGACAATTATTTAGTACTTGTTGATTTTTCTTAATTGGTTTTGCATTCCCATTGAACTATTTGATTGTTCGATCACCAATTAGATAGTAAGTTGCTTGTTGTAATGTAGGAATACTCACAATAAGTCTAGAGCGCGGCAAAGTCAACACATGGACAATAGGTATAGATNTGGAAAAGAATATTGAATAAAAGTGGATTATCGATTGTCTTGAATGCATGAATTTACTAGATTTCGAATTAAGAATTGAAATAAATGGCAATAGGGGGATTCACGATTCCAATACAAACATTTACATATTAGATAAACACTTTATTTGTTTTGTTAGTTTATGATTAATATAGATTACATACAAATCATCTCTTTTTAATATTACCACACTTCGAATTTAATAGTAGTTGTTGAACTACAAATTAGACCTTGAATAAGAAACTAAAACATTTTTCGTAGTTTTTCTATTTTACTTTATGAATTTGGTACATGATCAGATGGGATGTTCTAAATTCAAAATGTAAAAGCTAACCACTATCGAAATCACACATATAAAAAAGCATCTTTAACTGTGTCTTTCTTTGCATATACATACATACATATACATATATAATAGACAAAGCTTTTGAAGAAGGATGGATGGTACCACGACAGAATAAAATGGGTCATAGTCATACTGTGATTGTGTTTGAACGTTCCAACAGAATTGGTGGTCTTACAATGTGTGGGGGTGCCTAACATGAGGGCAGATAAAGTCGGTTAAACTCGTGGAGAAGGAATGTGTAACTTTGTCGTAAATGGTAATGTTGGAAAGGATCCTGCATACTCGATCGATCAGCTTCGTGAGGATCATGATGCTATCGTTTTGGCTGTAGAAGCTGGGAATTGGGAAATTTACACAAGCTAATAAAATACAAGTTTCCAAACTACTATTCAAACTCTTTTATTCCCAAAAGTACTGCATCTTCTAAATATTTTTTCTATAATAACGGGAATCCACATAGACTTTATTTTAGGTAACTACTCCATAAAAAATGGCAAAACATCAAAATCCCATTGATTACTCAATTTTATCCAGTAAACCAGCAAAATCAGAGATATTAATCTACTAAACTTATCAAATTGTCTCCGTTGGCTTGGCTCCTGGAAGGAAAGACTGGTCAGAAAACTTGATTTTCGAGATGACATGTAGATGTAGGAGGTATTTCATGGTCTATTATTTTCGTTTTTCTATGAAAAATATTTTGAGTTTATTGCATTTGTTTCACAAATTACTAAGGTAGTAGCATTTTTTTTTCAATATTGGCTAAACACATTAGGCTCAGTTGATAACGATTGTGGGACTTTGGTGCATTCAGTGGTATCCAGTTGAGCAACCCTCCATGAAAGTTGTAATTCAAATGCTTGAATCAAAAGAAACTCCCTCCATGCCCCGTAACCCATTCACTTCCACGAATGGAACGCAGAACGCAACAACTATGCATGGAAGAATATTCTGCAGCGAACTTGAAATCATTTCAAAATCCAAGCGAGGGCATTAAATACTGAAACTGTTTGACTGCTCCATAACATTTACGATGTGGTTTTGCAGGTAGAAGTATATTGCCCTCTCTATGTCCAATACTACGTAATAAACATGCATTAAATATTTAAGATCTCAGCATCATAGGTAGAAGAATGATCATCTTCCTTTGTGTTGGTTCTATTATGGATAAGAAACTAAAACATTTTGTCGTAGTTTTTCATTTTTACTTTTGTTGTTTTGAATTTAGTACATTATCGGATGGGATGTTCTAATTCAAAAAGTGTCTTTCTATGCATATATTTTACAATATATAGAAGGCATAAAACTACAACATATGATATAAATGCATCAAGCAAATCCTGCCCCAAGTAACCACTCATATCTCATAGTGTGGTTGATATACTGGACTATTTTTCTGAAGATACATAATTATACAACCCATTTCGTCATCCTTCCTGAGGCATCAGGCTTTTGAAGCACTTGCTTGAGTGGGAAGTTAGTTAGCACATGTATGGTATGGACCTGGAAATATGGACTCAATTTTGGAAAAGCTGGCCCTCTCCTTGGTGACCTCATTTTGGAAAAGCTGTCACCATGGAGAGGGCCAGCTTCTCCATGTCTGGATAACAGGTCTCTACTACCAAAAGTGCTTTGCTCACATAATAAATGAACAGTTGGTGATCACATTCTTTCCTCATAAGTATAAAATTGATAGCGTTTGTGGTAACTGCTAGGTGCAATTGTAAAGGCTCATCAATCTTAAGCTTGGAGAGCATGAAAGTCTGTCCCAAGTGCTTCTTTAGCCCTTGCAAGGCTAACTCACACTCCACCGTCCATTGAAACTTCTTTTCTCCCTTTAAGACCTTAAAGAAAGGGAGATATTTATCTGTTGCCTTTTAAGACGACGCAGCTCAAGACTGCTACGTGTCCAGTAAGGCTATGTATTTCTTTAGGCTTTCGGGGCGACCTCATTTTGACTAAGGCTTTAATCTTTTAAGATTAGCTTCTATGCCTCTTTGATTAACCATGTAACCCAAGAACTTTCCTGAGGCAACTTCGAATGTGCACTTAAGGAGGTTCAGCCCCATCCTGTATCTTCACAGTATCCAAAAAGTCTTTTCGAGTTACTTCACATGATCCTTTTCTTTCAAGATTTTTACCAACATATCATCTATATATACCTCCATTATCTTTCCAATGAGGTCAGTGAACATCTTATTAGCAAGTCACTAATAGGTGTCTTCGACTTTTTTCAACCCGAAAGGCATCAACTTATAAAAATAAAGACCTCTGTCTATTATGAAGGAAGTGTGCTCTTCATCAATTGGGAACGTTGGAATCTAATTGTAGCATAAATAAGCATCCATGAAACTAAGCTGTTTGTGTCTAGCTGTTAAGTCCACAAGTTCGTCTAACTATGTGAGCGGAAAGATCTCATTGGGGCAAGGTTGGTTTAAGTTGGAAAAATCCACACATACTCTCCACTTGCCATTATACTTCTTAACAAGGACATGGTTAGACACCTACTTTGGATATATTGATTCTTTGATGAAGTGATTGTCGATTAGTTTCTTCACTTCGTCCCTCAATGCTAATCATGTCCCCATGCTTCCTAGCGAAGATATCCAAATTTTTTCACAAGAAACTTTTCAATTTCTCCTTGGCCTCTATTGGCAGATTTTTTCCAACTTGTAGGAATTTGGAGGGATCTTGGAGATCTACTGGAAAACTCTTCAATTCTTCTACTAAAGCTATTTGAGGTTCACAATCGATGATGTGATTGTCCAACTCATTCAACTTAGCTACTTCTTCAGCAACTCTTCCTTATTTAGGGCCTCCTATTATTTCAAGGACTGCCTCTTCTTCAGAGGCTCCGCCATTTTAATGTATTCTTCTTGTTTAGGAGTTTGCCCTTGCTCAAGGGTGTGGTACGTGTAAGTGTCCACTATAATCACATTGATGTCCCTTGGGCCTTTCAAATGAAGTTCAGATAGCACTTTATTGAGATCATCTGGTCGCCTCTGATAGTAGCGATTCCATTCTCAGTGGAGAACTTCATACATAAGTGGTGAATGGACATGGCAACCCATAACTCCTTCAATGTTGGCCTTCCCAACACCCTATGGTATGCGGAGCAATTGTCTACCACCAAGAATTTCATAGATGGGAGACCAATGGTGTCATTCCCATCTTTACTGCAAAGGTAATTTTTTCCCTTGGAACGATGCTATCTCCAGTGAAATCATATAGAGGGGAACTCATGGGGGTCAACTCATGATCCACTCTTATTTTGTCAAAGGTTTCCCCAAAGATGATGTTTACCGAGCTTCCATTATCTACCAACATTCTTTTAAAGCCATTTCGTATTACAACAACGCTTACCACATGGCGTCTGATATGATCCATGATACGAGGGCAA